GGCAATTTTTTACACTGGTTCCCTGCCCACATGGGAGGGGGGAGTTACCGCGAACATAAAGAAAGTCGTGAACGACGCCGCGCGAGGATTGACAGACCCTACCGCTTCTGATACCTTTCCTTACCCCGGGTACAGGGACGCGCCATACTCGTAAAGGAAGTGACTAAATTATTTTATCTCTCATGGAGATTTTGTCCTCCTCCACACCCTAAACTCCACAGACCTCAAGCAGTCTCCCTTTAGCTTATCCAGACCAGATCTTGTCCAAATACTGCTTTTCTCTACAATATATACCCTGACGTCTTCCCGAACGACCTGTGCTCAGCATGTGGTGAGATAGCCTCATTAGAGCATATATTCAGCACGTGCCAAGACATGGGGTGAAGCTTCGCCCTGGAGGAGTGCGAGAAGTTTTTATGCAGCCCCATTCTCACTGCAGCCCCATTCTCAAGGCGGTACAGAATGTGAGAAGGGCCTTGGGGGGGGCCCACCTGCACCACTAATGTATCGCAGGTAACTCTCAAGGCGGTACAGCGGGCCAGCGAGGTGGCTGGTCCTTACACTGGCGTTCAGCAGGACAAAAAGAAATTTATTTTCCTTTCTTCTTTCCGAACTCCGCGGTACCGGCGAAGCTTCCCGCGCCGGGCAAGATCGCCGAGCAAAACAACAAGTGCAGTGGCGGACGCTCTCTTCACTCACTTCCCACCCTACCACCTTCATAAAAGTAAGCAGCAAGATCAAGCGCATGGTCGTTTGCGCCCCGTTTCTAAGTAACCTTTACTTATTGGTTGTCTTCAGACATGGCACTGGTTTTTAGGAGCTTGCTCAGTGAGCTTCATATGCTCTTGCCCTGTCCCGCGGTGTCGGCGTGTACATCAGTAAGCACATCTCCGATTGCATCTCCGGTGATTCCAACAATGCTCACTAGATGGCACGCCGCCATCTAAGATGTCGGTGTTGCGATGGCCCGCGTGCTCGCCTCCTCGAGACTACGTCCACGTCTCGCCGCTTCGTAGGCATGGCAACACGTGATACCTTCTTGCAACGAGTGTTATGCACGGGTACCGATATCCTCCCAAGGCCCCTCACCTGGCTGCTCTCAACCCCGTTGAAGAACGCCCGATTGCTCCACGTCTGCCATTCACGATTGTCAGGTATTTGACTCAAGGCAGCAGCAAGTGTGGCATAAAGGGGCAGGTGGTTAACGTGTCGATCGACGTGGCAAATACTCTGCATTGCGAGTCGCTGAACGCGTCCGACAATGCTGTCTTCAACGTATACCGTGTTTACACACGTAATGAACGCACTTTTTTCTCGAAAAAACAGAACAAAGTTGGGGGGTGCGTTTAATACGCTGGGTATATTTTATGAAAACTTTTTCGAGAAGAGCTAAAATTGCGGTAATGCAAAACAAGTTAGGCCACTTAGTCTTTCACAATTTGCATACGCGTACACTGTTTTACATGCACACTGTTTAGAAACAGCTTTGTTATACTTTACTCATCTTCGGTGGTGGATGACACTATCTTCTACAAGCTGTCCCCGGGCCGCCCGCGCACACCATAAAAACATTGTGGCTACCTTTTCTCGCAATCGTTTAACAGTGGTATGGGCTGTGATTTTGAGGGGTGCCCAAAAGCATGCGCTACGACGCACTTCGCCAACTTCGCGGCAACCTCGCATGACGACCATGATGACGCCGTTACCATTGTAGCAAGCACGACGAGGTCGTGGTAGCAAGTAAACAACATTGCAGCAAGCTACCCCCGAAGCATCAAAACAAACCGTCGATGACAAGATTACCGACAAAATACGGCCGCCGCCTGGCTTCTACGTTAGAAGTGCCTCTATGCATGGATAACAAGCTAAGCGATAATCGGGTATGCTACCATGTGGCGGAAATCGTCACGATCTCTGGACGCCAAGCGTATTTTTCTGGTTTTCCAGAAACCTGCGACTTGATGGCGACAAATGACCCTGCGCTCCAAGAAATACTGTCGTCGTCCCTCGAGAACTGCGTGCACGTGGTGGGCTTTTTTGGGGGGGGAGGGGGAGGGGGAGGTGGCTCTTTAGAAAAAGGTTAGAAGAAGGAGTGTAGAGTGTATGATAACTGTCTCTCATGTGAGGACACTTCAGCCGATGAACTCAGGTGTAAACGGGGAATAAAGGGACAGTTAGAGTGAAGAAAAAGAAAGTAGGCTAAAAAAAGAAAGGGGGGAGGTCGCAGGAAGCGATCAACGTCGGTTGGGGCGAGCAGTTTGGTGACCTTCACTTGCTGTGCCCTTATCAGCTGCAACTTCCCTACACTTGCACCACTCGTGAACCCTATTGTGGTTCACAGATAAAATGGACACCTGCCGCCCACAGATGGATAAAAAAGATAGGCACGCGGCCACGGGCGAAAGGGAGGAGGGAGCGAGCCGAGGCAGTTGAGGGGGGTCGGCAAAGTAATACCCGTGCCATACGAGCATAGAAAATGACATTCGGTAGCGAAGGCATTCAGTTCCCGAATGACATTTCCTTCGGCAGCGCTGCTACACGTCCAAAGTGAATGACATTTGACTTGATGTCGATCGAAGTACTGCACCTACTCTCTCCCACAATCCCTCCACACACGCGAGAGCTCCGCCGAGCTCACATGATGCGAGTACGCTTTCTTCCACTCTACTAACTATTTGCTATTCTGCCCGCACCTACTGCTCCAGTTGGTAGAGGCGAGAGTAAGTGCCCACAGCTGTTGCTATGGGAGAGGGAGTGAGAGCAGAAAGAACACCTGCCAGCGCGCGCGCACACACAGACGCCTGACATGTCCGGACCAAGAAATGCATGCGCATTTAAAAATGTTTTCTGACGCACGGACTTAAACGTGTGACCTCTTGCTCTGCAGCGCACGGCTTTAGCTGAGAGAGCGCACGTCAAGTTATTTATATACCCCAATTACAGCTGGCGTTATGCCGACCTCTGGGGCAATATCAGCGTGTTCTCAGCTTTTCTAGAGATATGAAGCGATAGGGCGCGCTCGGCGGCCCGCTCGTGTATGCTTTATGGTGCGTGCAGGGTGGCGGGCAATAAAAGTAACGGGGCCGCTGCCTCCCTTTACTTTGACATTAAGTCACTGTGGCGCATCAAATGCCTGGTTCGAAGATATTTTCCACTTGGTCGCGTTTTCCCTTTCATTAATTGATTAATATGCGGGGCTTAATCACCCAAAACCACCATATGAATATGAGAGACGCCGTAGAGGAGGGCTACGGAAATTGACACCACCTGGCGTTCTTATACGTGCACCCAAATCTGAGCACACAGGCCATAGTATTTTGGCATCTATTGAAAATGCAGCTGCAGAAGCCGGAATTAGATTCCGCGACCTGCGGGTCAGCAGCCGAGTACCTTATACACTATACCACTGAGGTGGGGCGCGTATTTCCTTTCAGTAGAATGACGGCTGTACCTAAGCGACACACCAAGAGCGCATGCTCAGCCCGCGGCTTTCTGTGGCTGAGCACGAGCTCCTGCGACAAGTTTTGCGATGATGCGCCTGAAGGGGATATAAAAAGACGGAATTATTAGTGCCATATTTCAACGCTAAAACTTTTTTTTTTGCCAGAGAAAGCAGTGAATGCTGATTGACACATGCTCCTATAGGGTTCGGCAAAACTTCGCTCCCTTTCGTAACGTTGGGAAGTCAATCACACAGGACCGAGTTGACTGGCGGAACATGGGAGAGGCCTTTCTCCTGCAGTGGACGTAGTCAGGCTGATGATGATGATGATGATGATGATGATGATGATGATGATGATGATGATGATGATGATGAAGTCAATCACGCACGATGCTTATTTCGCCCGATCACACTATGGCACGCTGTCGTCTCCGATCGTCGTTAAGTACCAACAGACCAATATGAACACAAAAACTTACAAAAAGTGCGTTCTTTGATTAAACGACACACTGCGTTCAGTGTTTGTTTTGTTTTGTTTTTTCCTCATCGATCACCTTATCGTTTGAAATAGACGAGATCGGCGTAAACACTCGAGAACCTACAAGCATAACTATTGTGTGCCATTCGCCTCGTAAAGTCTGGTTTTGTTTATGAAGCTGTGCAGGCAACGATAGCCAATGTTGCATAGGGCTCCGGAGATTGTTGATAATGGCGCTTCCGATTGATTGATAAGTGGGATTTACTGTTCCGAAACCGTCATATGATTATGAGATATGCCGTAGGGGAGTGCTCCAAAATTTCAACCACCTTGGATTCTTTAACCATCGCCGAAATCTGAACACACGGGCCTACAGCATTTTCGCCTCTATCAAAAATGCAGCCGGGATTGGATCGCGCGCCCTGCGGAACAGCCACCAAGTACCTTAGCCAGAACACCGCGGCGGGGCGATAATGACACTTCTGCTTTGACCTAGGTGTAAAACCCCCGTCTTTTTTTTTTTACCTTAACGTGTGAGTTACAACCACCCCATCAATAAACGCCATTTAACGAAGCAGGGTGGGGAAACTAACGATATACGTGCATGTTCTTGAAGAAGAGTCGTGTGCAGCTGCCTTGTGTCAGGTCCTTCCGGAAACCAGATACCGAAAATTGGCGCTTGTTGACTCGGTATATAGTCTATTCTCGCGCGTTCAGGCTTTAATAAAAATGGGTGGCTATACTTCGCACGCAAATGCAGCCATCAAAAATAAACTATTTTAAGGTTTCAACTTCGCCGTCCTTCTCTTTACTTGCCAACTTTTTAAGCTGGCCATGTAGGCCTTAAGTTACCAAGCACAAAGAGATTTGAATCACTGCAATAGTCAGCTCTTTCCTTCCCACACGTGCAAATAAATAGCAAATGAAACAAGACACTTGCGTTCCGAAAGCTTGAACGGAGGTGCAAGAACAATCAAAACGGTTTCGACGTTCTTGCAGAAAATCCGTTCTTTAGCTCACCCCATGGCATCTCTTGAACACTCTCGTCAATGCTACGGCACCTCGCAACAGGGGCCTCACCTCCTCGGCCTGCGCGACTGCATGACGGTCGACCCCTAGGCTCCGTCGTGTTGGTCATGACATATTCCATGGTTTGGTCCGATCGCGGCCTTCTTGTAAAATGATGCTTGATGCTGTCTTAATACCGCTAGGCGAAAACGTAAAACGTAAAGCTTTCGATACACTTATCACAGGCGCGATACAGTAGCGCAAGTGCGTTGCGTGATTTGCGGATCGTTGTCACAAGTATACGTCACCTGTATGCGTCTCTTAGTCTGCATCTACACGCTTTTCACGAGTCATACTTGCGAACACTAGAAATCGTTGGCAGAAGTTGAGTGCTGATGAATTTGAACTTGCGAGTTCGATCCTGACCACGGTGGTTTCCTTTTTATGAACGTGAAGTACAACAGCGTTTGTATATGTAGTTCAACTAAAGTATGGCAGGTGCTCAAAATTAATCTGGAGTATCCTACTGTGACATGCTTCATCAACCAATCGCAACTTTGGCAAGTAAATTACAACAATTTTAACGAAGCTTTCGTTGCCGTCAAGTGATAATTGGTGTAGCCTGGGGGCGAGTTGTTCCCTCAAATTTTTCACTGTTTGACTGAACCCCCCCCCCTCCCTCCTAGAAAAGATTCCTGGCTGCGCCTCTAAAGTATTTAGTTCGATGGTGACTGAAAACCGGAATAATTACTTCACTATTAACTTGCAGAAAACGGGAACCAAAATATGTCTTTAAAGCGACATAAGTGCTTCTCTTGCCAGAGAAGCAGCACGGCCTCTTTGATGGCTGAAGTGATGAGGGGATGTAAGAGGCTCTACGAAACATAGCGTGCAGTGACTAAGTTAGGGTACATCATTCAACCTCTAATTATCTATGTTTAAAAGACTCCTGACACCAAATGTGGGATACTCGAGATGCTTGTGTTTGAGAGTCCTTGGGCGCGATTCTCGTGGTGTCCATTTTGGTCTCCACTGATTGGCTGGAGCTCAGCGAGCTGCGCGCCGCCTCTTTTCGGTCTTTTTTCCGCAACGTCCATTTGACGACACAAAGCTTCCACAACTTTCGACACAAATGAGGATAATGGAATGCATTCCACCGCAACGAATGCTGCCCCCAGAGATCCGCTTTTGGACGCACATCTCTGAGGACGCGCATGAACTCTGATCACGTGAGCACTTGAAATAGATATAACGTGGCTGCCCACCGGACGCACTTCTAAGGTCGGAACGTATTTTCTGCATCACTCTTTAAATATCTCAACGCATTCATACGCAAATTCATACTGGTCAGGTTTTTTTAGGTGTCTAGTCACTGTACATTTAGGCCACTTTCGTTGTCTTTACGCTGGTAATGTGCTGGCAGGTTTGGTGCGTCAACAAGGTCAAGAGTGTCACGTCAGAGCTCACCACTTTTTAGAGTAACCTAAGCACTCTGCCAAAGTGAACATGTCCACTAGAAGGACACCACGAGAATAGCTCCACTTCATGCATGGGCACTTCTTCTTAATGAACGTCGCCTTCAAGATATATTAATTCGGCTTTAAAGTAAGCTTCAGTATTTATCTGAGTTTTCAGTACCTCGCGACATCAACACTAGCATGACGTAGACAGAGGCATCTTATGAATATAAAAAAGAGAGCTCTATTGGCGTCACAAAGCATTGACAGGGCGCGCACGAAACCGCGACTGACACCCAACCAAAGTTAATATTCCCCGCCCCTCTCGTTCTGCTGTCGGGCAAATTTCAATGAATGCTTTAGCCAGGAAGGCTTTTCGTCTTCTGAAGAACGGAGTTGAATGGAAAAACGTACCTAAAGAAGAAAAAGTGAAGAGTGAACATGTTGTGGTTTAATAAGTATTGTATACGCCTCACCCACCCTTGGTGTTGAAACTTTGCTGAACACTTTTACGTGTACGAACAATAAGAACAGTTTAGACCACCACCTCCAATGGCATTTTCTAATATATGATAAGCTTAAATCCGTCTGGTTAGAAACACACATGAAAACAATAAAACACCACACAGTGGCCGCGAATAAAAGCGCAATGTTTATCACAAGTGAATAAGGCTCCTGTGTGGGGGCCAAAACGTCATGCTTTTATTTGCCTTTGATCGTAGTCAGCATGTTGTTTCAATTGTCTTAACATCAGATGACGGGCTTAAGTAAATTCTCTAGTTATGCGCTACGGATGTTGAAGGGATCTCCTGTGTTTTTAGAAACAGGGCAGTGGTCACAATATTATTTATCGCCCAAAACTTGCAACAAGGCTATACATCATCGTATGTATACATAAGGCATGCACGTGTTACTGTGAAAATGTCAAATTGGACAATGCATTTATCTGAAAATCATGAATACAGACTGCATGTTTCGAAGCTGTTGGCAGTGAAGCAAGTATACAACTTCACAAATCAGTCGCATCAAATGTTTATTGTGTATTGCTAAATCACGGCCAATAGTTTCCAGGATTCCGGTTACCGGTCATTGCTGCAGATGCTTGTATGCTTTATTGGAATGGTATTTTGTTCCGGGTTGGTGCTTTGTATGTCTTAGCATTTTCACATGGTTTTCTATTATTCATTAGGCAGCCTTTAATGAGGGGTATCTGAGGCATGAGTGAAGGGCACTGCCTTTTTAGCCACCTGGAATTATTGAAATTAATAGCCATAGTTTAGCAGCAGACAATAATATTTAGTGAAAGTAATTTTTAATATTATAGGTATAATCGTTTCAATGTAAGCAGCCGAAAGAAAGTTACGTTAGCTTTGTTCAAAATAAGATTGTAAATTAAATTTATATGTTACCTGCAATGGATACTTCATGAAAGTGCATGTCATGTATGTGCTGTCTTATGAGTGAATTGGCTTGTATACGCACTATGCAGGAGCGCTATTCAAGCATATTTTGTGACACATAATAATGCGGAAATTGCATATGCTTTCGTAAGGTTGCAGCTGTGTTCGCCAAGAATATTGAGGAAGTTTTTGTTGTAACATGTCTGATTTTTGTGCATCCTGCTTTTTTATAACACATTGTTCCTGATCATCCTAAAAAGAGTGTCAAATTCTGCTTCGCTAACAGACACATGTCAGCAAATTGTTTTTTTTTTTTGTTTTCTTCGCAGCCTATACATGCTCGTCGTAGAAAGAGAGTGCGGAATACGTCTTGACTAGCCTGTCATCAATGCTGGCTCGTAGAAAAGTTGGCTGCTGGTGCACAGGAGCTGCGCATGGCTTCTGTTTCTTGCAGAAAGGGAACTGCACAGAGCCACCTATTAGCTGTATTAAAGATTCAAGTGTTCAAAATTATTCCTTTAGTTTTTCCTTAAAAAAGAAGTCAGCGCTGTAAATTATGTATATAAGAGCTGTCTTTGCAGATAGCTATGTATCCAGGGTGACACAATGTGAGACAATCATTATCACTGTTAGCGGCGCCATTGAGTAAGATTCACTAATAGTGACCGCAGCAGGCAGTCATGTATGTGTTCAATATTTGAGCCAGTCAAATTTCTACATAACTTCACTTGTAAAAATCAGTGCTATTTACTAAGCTCTTTAGTGCATATTTAGTTGTTTTCAAGAGCCCCGCCGCGGTGTTCTAGTGGCTAAGGTACTCGGCTGCTGACCTGCAGGTCGCGGGCTCGAATCCCGACTGTGGCGGCTGCATTTTCGATGGAGGCGGAAATGTTGTAGGCCCGTGTGCTCAAATTTGGGTGCACGTTAAAAAGCCCCAGGTGGTCGAAATTTCCGGAGCCCTCCACTATGGCGTCTCTCATAATCATATGGTGGCTTTGGGACGTTGAACCCCACATATCAATCAATCAACCACGCAGATGCCCCATTGAGGCGCAGACACCACTCTCGCCGCCTCCCCCGGATACCTGAAGCCACCGTGTGGTTCCTCAACCTCCGAGGGGCAAGAAAGCCCTAAAAATGAGAATAGCTGTACAGGAGTATAACAGCCAAGTACATTAGCCTGTTTGCAGTAGCAGATACCCTTTTCCGGGACCTGGAAGAGCCGCCTGCACACCTCGACTGGCAATTGGCTGGCAATAACCGATCTATCGGAGATCAAAAAGGTGGAGGTGTGAGTATGCTATGGCGAAGCGGTACGATATGGCCACGGCTACCAGAACACATGTGGATTGCCGACGAAACTCTGAACATCCCGATTCTCATCGGGGTTGTCTACTTAGGTGTGACTCGAAGACTGTATTACGCGAATTGTCAAATATTACAATGCATTAGAGACGATATGGCGCGCTGGGGAACGGGGAGAGAGGTGCTCCTAATGGGGGACTTCAATGGCCACATAGAGGCTCTCGCTGAACAAAAGGACGCAAACGGGTCTTTCATGCTACAAATGGCCGAAGATTTATCCCTCGAGGTGGCCAACTTGTACAGTAACTGTGATGGTGTTTTTATAAAGTCTACCATCGACTACGTCCTTATGTCACGTGAACTATCCGTACATACATCTCAGGTAAACGTTAACGAGGCTGGCGACCACAGCCTGGGAAGCGACTATAATCACCTAAAGATATCGTTCTCAAAGTCCACATTTCGACAACATAGCTAAACAGCGCCAGTCGAGAACATCCGAAAGTACGTACCGGCGACTGTGTACGAGGCTGTTACGCATCAATTTTAAAACAGCGCAGTCCATTCGTCTCCGGTCACGTACGACGAATATATCTCGGACCTCCGTCGCATCCTGCAAAAGCATGAAGATCTCCCGAAGAGTAGGAAAGGGCGACGACACAGGACCTGATGGGACAATGAAGTGAAAGCGGCTCTCGAAGCACGACGGGCCGCAAACAGAGCTCACCGGCGAGCTGTCAAATTTCTCGGTCTCACAGAAATACAACAGAGCTGTGTCGATTACATCAACTGCAAAAGGGAGGTGCAACAGATTGTTCAGCGAAAAATCATGGCGAACAATCAACGAATTCTGCAGTCACTGACGAGAGCCGGGAGAAACGGCATGGGCAAATTCTGGTCATACATGACATCGCTCGACCGTAAAGCATCCATGCATGAACTTCTGGATGAGAACACGAGAGAAAAGATTGAGGATACTGCGCGTCATTTCG